AGGGAGCGCAGAGGGCTTTCCGGAACAAACTCCGAGTTCTGAAATTCTTGTGTACCTGTCACTCATCTCAGTGAAAGGGGATGCGCATGCACACACCCCACTTCTAGTAGCATCAAGCTGACAGATGACAGCTGTGTAACCAGTGTGGCACCGGGTCATTACTGCATCATTCATCAGTGTGACATAATGTTTGAATGTTTGAAGAGCTGTTGATGATGCTGTTGTGTTAGAGGGCAGGAGAGCGGAATGCGGCTCCAACAGTTTCCCTAATCCCAAGTGGTGGTGTGTTGTTTATGATAAAGAAAAACTCTTAAAAGCTGTTTTCTGTCTAAGCCACATGACATCACTGTATTTTGTGATCGGAGATTTGGCGGACGATCTCGCCGGTTGTAATTGTTGGCTGTAGAGTTTGTTGCACAAGTACATTCTTTTCTTAGTCTGTCCACTGAGTTGTGTTGAATTTATTATTGGCTTCCAGATGAATTTTCATGAAAAAAACAAACAGCTCGATGTAAACCTCAGTTAATATTTACTGTTTATTAATAATTTGAAATGATTTTCTTCATTTATGCTGAATTGGATGGTTGTTTGTAGACAAATGCATCACTTTGCATGTGTAGTTCACCTCAAGTTTGTGCTAGCTTAGCATTTAGAAATATCTGGACGTGTACCAGCTGATCACTCTCTACTTGTACCTATAATTAGTACCAGATAATATAATTCCTTCCAGGAAACTTCTTGGGAAGTTATTTAGTAATAATCTGGGATTTACAGACCTGTAAAACAAAGCCTTACCATCAATTCATTTGTAAAGCAGCTTCCAGATTTATTATATACATATCTACTTGTGGTTAAGTAATTTATCAGAGTTTTTGTAGGGTGGACGAAAAAAGATGTTAAAATGTGGGAGGGAATTAAGTTGTTAAAAGTCTGTAAGAGACAAAAACAAATACCATTTTCTCATTTTGATACCAGTGTTAATAAGCACAGCTTCTTAATATGACAATGTGACTCAAATGGTAAAGAAATGTCTGATCTTTCCTCCTCTTAGTAGAGTATTAATCAAGTAGTAAAGTTTTTCTACACATCACAGTGGTAAAAGTGAACACAGTCAAATGAGTCACAAAATGAGAAAACTGTGAGAGTGAGAACTTGATCACAGGAACTGAAGGCAAAACATATTTGAATTTCAAAGTAAGTTTAGCCAAAACAACAGGAGAGACGGCCTTAGCTTCCCATTATCCAGCCTTGAGATCTCCATCAAGTGCGGTTCATTCTGACATTCTTGCATATGTGGGTTGGCTTGACTCATCATAACATTGATAGGAAAAAGAACATGGAGATAAGACCAGCCACTGAAAGCACTTGAGAGAGAGAAGTAAAAAACTTTAGAGAGGGAGAGTTGGAGCAGTACAAGAAAAAAACCTTTTTACCTTCCATGTTTCTTTTGCTGTACAGACGGCACTGTCAAACACAAGGAAGATGAACTACTGCTTAGAGGGGAGAAGAGGGGAGGAGGGGAGCAGCATTGTCAAATGAGTGTGTCTTAAGTGGAAGGGGGAGGCAGGTGGTGTTTACATCTGTTTGGTGAAAGGCCTTTTCTGGAAGGCCTTGTTTAACATGGCCAGGATAACTGATGAGTGTGTTCTTGGTCTCTCTGCTTCCCTTGGTCTGTCTTGCCTTCCTCATATATCATGTACAATATCTCTCACACTCATTTCTCTCCCTTTTGATTATCTGAATATCTGTCTACTTTCTTTTTGTGTTTCAGTTTGTACAAAGCAGCATCTGTTGAAAAGGTGCCTTCAGCTTTTGGCAGTTCGAGGGGCCACGGTTGTTAATTGCGTGTTGACAGTGGCTCCTATATCCTGCCATCAAGCCTGAAAAAGCTAGAGGGGAGACCCAAAGGTTCCACAAGGTCATTTTCGCAAAAGAGCTTGAAACAATTATAGTGTCAGCGACGTGCTGGGAAATTCAGCCAGTTTCAGAGCAAAAATCACTTAACTTGAGGCATGTTTTGACATAAGTCATACTTAGTAAGATTTGGACTTGATCTCCTTTGGTCAGTGCAATTCATTTTGCAGGGGTTTCCCCTATAACAACCAGGACCAGACTACAGGAGCACTATTTTCTTAGACTTCATGCTTACTCTAAAATATTTATTAAAATATATTACCAGTGACCCCCTTATTCAGTGCAGTGTACAACTCCATTATGAAAAACTGTTTTATCGGTCGAGTAATGGCAATGTATATGTTTTTCTCATCAGCCAGAATGTATGTGATATATTACACTTCTAAAACAAGTTAAAAAAATCATATTTTAAATTCCATGGAGGACTTTTTTTTCCCCCTTGCAGATAAAATAAGGATAAGATGTGAGGAAGCGCAGGGTCAGAGACTTGTTGTTTTCTCAAACAGAAGGATAGATAACTTTGCAAAGTACATTACTCGTTGTAATGTGACTGAAGGAATGCTTTTTAATAATGATAATTTTGAATTATAATTTTTTTAATCTATCTGTTGCAGACACACTGGTGGTAGAGTAGTGTACACACACACAGAGCAGTAGTCAGGGACCCCAGGTGCAGGATGAATGTGAAAGGCTTTGTGTTTTGCCAACAGCAGCACCTCACATGACAGTTGACTGGAGGCAGGACAAAGAAAGTGGAAGATGAGAAGTTGCATAAAAGGTGGGGCAGAGGAAGACGGGGAGTCTGTGTGGGAGAGTGAAGAAATAGAGAAACAAGTCTTAGAGAAAATGAACACGAGTTTCAATAGATGAAGAAAAGGCACTGCTAGTCTATTAAAGGACTACATGCAGAAAAGAGAAGAGCTCAATGAAGAGATGTAGAAGAAGAAAGAAGTCAGCAGCAAGTAAAACACAAAATGAGTGAGCACTGCACTTGGTTGGAGTAACTGATGGGAGGGGGGAGACAGAGTGAGAGAAAGGATGGAAGAGGCCAGTGGCCTCTGCTCCGTCGCCTCTGTGTGCTGCCTAACTGCCCACCAGTTCCCCACTGCTCTGTCACTTTTTGTTTGTTAATCCCCCGTTTTTCTCCCCCTCCTACTTTTTTTCGCTCCCTTTCAAGTTGGTGAATTGTTAATGTGACCCCTTAAACCCCACCGCTCCTCTCTTGCAACATTGTCAACACATGTTCAGTGTGTACAAGGAACACATTTGGAAGGGGAAGAGCAACAGTAGATGACAAATGACTATAACTGAAAGAATTTACAAACATTATTAACATGAAATTTGTGACACACTGAACCCCAAGTCATTTACCAGTGGTGAATGTGTTGAAACTTTTGACTGCTTGTGTACTTCCAGGACATTTAGTCTAGAATCAACACTAGCTCAAAAGGATGAAAGGTTACTTTAAAGCTGAAACTGTATTTTTAGGAATAATTGTCTGCTCTTGAGATTTGTTTTATAATGAAACTGCAATATAGACAATAAAGCTGTCGCACCAAAAGTGGTGCCTGTGATTGACTACATGAGCTAAGAATGGACATTAAAGTGCCAAATGACAGGCAAATTAAAATCACTATAGTTTTAGATCATTTGAACATGGCCCAACTATTGCACTGCTGTGGGTTAGCTGAAAGGCGTATTTAGCTATGAATAGCCTCGTTGTCATGTGGCTGGATAAGCGTGTTGATGTAGATAAACAGGACCCCTAGTGATGATATCTTGGAAGACGTTGACGCTTCATGTTTTTTTCATGTATGTGTCGTGAAAAACCCTCAATTCTTTTGTTGTTTAGGAATATTCAACTTTCCATCCCACAAGAAAAATACTGTACATGAGTGGGCAGTAGGTTCCTATTGCAATCCAATGTTACTTATGCATTTTAACCATGCATCGCACATCCACTTCTGCAAAAGTGGGTGATTATTATTATTTTATTAGCCTAAAACATGTACAGTATTTTCTGACTGATAGGAAACTAGCAGCTTTTGTGCTTCAAATGTCTAAGGTTATTTCAGTCACTTAGGCTTTACTGTACGGCACTTTTCCACTATGAAGACGGCATTTGCACAGAGTAATAAAAGTACAAAAGTGGTTCATACTTTGTCTGTGCCCTTTCACACATATTATTGATTTTGATTCTGATTCTTTGTGAGAAGCGTTGGCTTAAAAGGAAGCCAGAACTTGAGGATGAAAGAGGAGTAGGAGAGCAGATTTTGTATCTGCTAGTAGTTTATTTGACAGACGAAAGACTCATGCTTGTTTTGGATCTCCGCTCGAAGCTGTTAAGCATCTGGTGTCAGTGGTCATGTGGAATAAATGAAAGTCTTAAAAGCCATGAAGGAAAGACACGTCCATGATCCTTTTTTTCCTCCAAGTGACAAACAGGTGCTCTTTTGAAATAGGATAACTGGGGAATACAACCGCTTCTTTCTAGTTCTTAGGAGCATTAGAAGGTGTTTGAACTTAATGGTAGTCTTTTTCTTGTCTCACATTTTCTCACCCATTTTAAATTATAAAATTAAATTGTGTTTCAGTTCAGTCAGGCAGCTGATTTATGATGTGAATAAAGAGCATGCCCATAGTTGATATTTGCCATCTTGGCGCTGACTTTGTCGCTCTCTACAAGCATAAACCAGTGCAGTAGAGTAGACATATCAAACTTCTCCCTCAGGGGAACATACGGTCCTACAGGTCGAGTGCTGAGCTCATGAAATGTGCTTTGACCAGCAGAAGCAGGGGCAGAATCACAGTAGCAGAAGAAATAATTATAATGCACATCCTAAAGAACACTACTGAATTATATTTAAAAACACAAAGGGTTATAGCCTCTGGGCACTGAGGTTATTCTAAACGTCCTGTAGTAGTAGTACGAGTCCACCAGTAACAACCCTGGCAGTGGTGGCACTGTGCTCTTTTCTCATTGAAAAAAGAAATACATATGATTGATTTATATCATGTTAACATTTTGGTTTCTGTGTCTTTCTCCAGCTGACTGTCTCCTGTTTCTCCTTCTCTCCGTCTTTTAGGCAACATATTAGACCGTATGCTGCTAAGAGCATCCAGTAAGGAGGCAGGGGAGAGTGGGAAGGAGACTAGTGGCAACACAGCTCCTGCATCATCCTCCCAAAGACTACTGTGGTGTCACTGCTATCACCACTGCCCAGATGATTCAAAAAATAACACATGCAGGTAAGAAGTGGAGGAACGAAATATAAGAAATGTAGGTGCATATGCAGTGTTGGGAAGGGTAATTTAGAAAAGTAATAGATTACTAGTCATAAGTAGTAAGTAATGTATCTATTTTAAATACTTCACAGAATAAATAATATTACTTCTGAAACTTTTTGATTACTTTTCTAAAAAAATGTTTTAAACTGAACAATAAAGTTCAAAAGCCTAAACATACATTTAAACCATGCAGGCAGTGTAAACTTCACAGCAGTACTTGAAAATCATTAGTCTCAAACTTTTATTAAAGTTTCAACTTAATGAAA